TCCTTTCCTCCCTGCCTGCCCAGCTCCCCCACTCTGATCCACTGGCCCCACCACCCTAGTACCTGCCTCTCTCGGCAGCTCCCACCCAGCTGCCCAGCTCTTCTGGTGGCACATTTCAAATGACATTTCCAACAAGCTTGACCAGTGCCTCACTCCAAGCAGGAAGCCTGTTTCGGATCAGCTCTGGATGCACCGAGCATTACATGAGCTGCTGCCAGGACCAGGAAAAGCCCAGGCAAAGTTCCCCCTCGCTTCAGAGGTCAGGAGTATCCGCCTGGAAGTCTGAGTCGTTAAGGGGGGTCAGCAGGAATGCGGCAGGACAGACAAGGACACAGTCCCAAATATCATGTTTGACTCAAGAAAGAATCAAGAGCACAGAGAGATCCCGAGACCTGGGCACGCAGGGCAGCCCTGGCATCTCCCGGAGTCCTGACTACAGGCCCTGCAGGTTCCAGCTGCCCAACATCTGGGCTGCACTGCCAGGCAAAGCACATGTTCTCACTGGCACCGAGGATCCTCCCCAGCACGAGCCAGGAGGAAAAGGGCCTGCTCAACAAGGCCTACTGACAAGCAAGGATGTCTTCCTTGCCCTCTCTTCCCTGGCTCAAGATCAAAAGTGAGGGGAAATCAAAAGAAAGCAATCGGCTGATGGTCTGGGCTGAGCTCTCTCCTCTCCCTATCACTCCTCACCCTCCTCAGAAGGACAAGGCAGACAGTGAATAGGGTTCGAACACTGAATAAATATCCCTGAATAATCAATTACAGCTCATGAGCGGCAACCAGGAGCAATGTTTTCTAATCAGCTGTATGTTCTCTTTCAAAACAGGCCCAGACACCAGTACCTGTACATGAGCAAAGTACGACCACAGTTATGCCAACGGCAAATGGGATGCTCTGCATATGCTTGATGTCTCCCAAGCTCCCACTACCCTCCCTCCCCACCTCTCTGCTAAAACAGGGCTCAAAAATTGAGACAGCAACAACCCACAGCTGCAGGAGGGAAAGAGCAGAGAGAAGGGCTAGAGTGCCCCCTGGTGGCGCAGGAGCCGCTCTTCCTGCACCCAGCAGCAAACAGGCTGAGCCACTTTCCTGCAACTTCCAGCTCCAGATAATCACATATTCAAACAAAGAAATGAATTCAAGAGAAGGAACTCACCCTCAGAAGAGGAAGTGGAGGAATGTGAGGAATGTGAGGCTGATGTGAATACTAATAAATACCAAGCAAAGGCGTTTTCAGAAAGTCCCAGGACAGTGACGCCAATGAGCAGAAGACTGTTTCTGCATGATCGGTGGATCGTGCTGGGACCATTTACCCCAGCACAGTCCACACAGGTGGTTATCCTAATGCTCCTACGTCCCCCTAAACCATCCTCACTGCAGTGGTGAGGGAACTGAACAGTTCCCAAATACACACAGAAGAACAAAGGCCACACAGGCCCTATCATTTCATTTAAGTTCACTTAAGTGTCACCCCCAAGCTTCACCAGGAAGAGGTGGTTAAAAAAAAATATGAAAAAGTATGTGATTCCTGGCAAACAGCCCCGGTCCCCCTCCTCCTGACCCAGGTTTCTGACATTTGGGCTACAGAGTTGCTCACTGTGGGGTCCTGGGTCAGCCCTGCAGGATGAGCAGCACCCTGGTCTTGCCCAGTGGCCAACCCCCCCCACCAAGTGGCAAAAACCAGAAACAGCCCTGAGTCACCCCAGCACTGTCCTAGATGACACAGCGTCACCTGTCAGAGTGGGGAACCATCGCCTCCTCTTAACTGGAGGGCAGATTCAGGCGCAGATGCTGGAAAGGGACCACAGGGGCCTGCACGGGAGGGCTGGTCTCCATAGGACAGGAACTCGGGCTATGCGCATGCCGTTCAGCGGCAGGTCCAGGCACTGTTTGCAGGATGAGTGGTCGGCCAGGTGCCTTCTGAGGGTGCCACTGACAACAGCGCCTGCCAGGTCCCAGGCTTCTAGTATTCCAGGCGCACGTCTGAAGTATTTTCAATTTTTCTTCTCAAGGTATAACTGACATTAAGTGCCCTGAGTGTTTTTCAGTATTAACTCATCTACCCCTCACACCTGTCCATGCACACACACTATTATCGGTCCGTTGTACAGATGAGAACACGGAGGCCCAGGATGGTTCCACGACCTGAGTAAGTTCCTACTGCTAATTGGTGGAGAGGCAGGGCCTGCTGCCCTGCCATTTATTGAGCACAGGTCATCCTCATGAAAATGGCCCCAAGAGCCCCTCTCTAAGCATCTGGGGCCATCTGTCCATCTGTCTTAGGGGATGGTGACTCTGTTACAGGGCAGGGAGAGGGGCAGCCCAGACCCCGCAAACCTGCCTGTTCTAAAGGGGTTACAATTCCACTTATCACTAAAGCCCACAGACCCCACAGATTAAAGTACTTCAGGCCAAAAGCAAAGACGTTTGCTTTTCCAGAAAGACTCGCCGCCCTGGGTCTGGGGCACCTCCACCCCAGGCGTTCACTTCACCCTCACCCTCCTCTGCACCCTCCTATTCCCCAGATGTGGACCCACGGGACTATTTAATCTAAAACTTTGTTGAAATATTGTTGCGACAAAGGAAGTTTAGAGGACTGCCTTATATGTCAATTCTACTTCCATCCAGATGGGAGGATAAAAAGAACACCTGTTTTTAAAAAAAATACAGTAGCTAAATAGAACTCGAAAATTGGAAAGCAAATTTTATTTATTTTATTCATAAAATGGGGTGCTTGCCATAAGTGTGCTTAAGCAGCAAATGATGATGAGGTGGGAGCTATTTATTCTGTGCCAATTCCAAGATGGTTTAAAATATTTTAAAGGCAGCAGAGGTTAACAACATGAAGTTCTTATCATATTTAATTTCACTTCAAAAACACACAGCTTTTTTCCCTTCAATTCCAGTATGTTAGGCAAACTCCTTTTCTATTTGCTCACTAAAATTAAGGTCATATTTTGTTCCCATAAAAGAGAGATGATTTTTAAGATAAAAGAGGGGAAAAAAGAAAAGGGAGCTAAAAGGATTGGAGCAAAAACCCTCACCACTTATTACCAGTGTAGATAAGAACACGACAGCCTCAGGGAAAATCCCCCACACCGTTTATGATGAAAACACACCAAGAGTTGCAAACATGGCCTCCGAGAGGGACGGGGAAGGCGGGGAAAGGCTGGGCTAGTCCCCGGGCCAGCCACCAGGGGGTGCACAGCCCTGGACGGGGGAAGTGGGGAACCTGAAGTGGACAGGCAGTGCTGGGTGTGCAAAGAGGAAGGGCCCCCCCCTAATCCTCAGGGTTTTAGTGTGTCAGGCCTGGTGAACAAAACACCACAGACTGAGCTTATCAACAATAGAAATGGACGCGCACGGTTCTGGAGGCTGAAGTGAGAGGACAGAGATTGGGGTGCCAGGCTCTTCCTCTGAGGGCATCTTCAGGGGGCTGGGAAGGAGGTGCTTCTGGTGTCCCTTGTTTAATAAGGTTCCCCCTCCTCACCTAATCACAAGATAAAGGCTCCATCCCCTAATACCACCACCCAGGGCATTAGGGGTTCAACACATGAATTTGGGGGGACCCAGACATTTGACCACAGAACTCAGCAAAAAGCGCCCCTGAAAATGGGCAAGTAAGTTAAAAAAAAAAAAAGAAAAACCATGTCCCCACCCAGGAGTCCCTTGCTTGACTGAAAGTTATGAGGTAGTTATGAGCACCAGCTGCAGGGCGGGTGGGGGACACAGCCCCTCGTTAGCCTAGAAGGTGAGGAATCCTGCAGGCTTTGCAGTCAGGGCAGCTCATCACAGCCTCACCCCCGCCCCACCCCTGGCACACAGCAGGTGCCCAGTAAACACTGTTCGATGCTACTTCACCAAGTGTCTGCTTTTCATACAAAAAGAGAGACTGTTACCTGCACCCCAGAAGGTTGCCGGGGGCGAAGGGAGAAAGAGCAGTTCCAGTGCATGGGGGTGATGCTGGGTGCCCAGCAGGGGCCATCTTACTGCTGCTTTCACTAGCTTACGGTTTTATACACTGTCGCTGTCAAAGCAAAAGCAGTGTGGAGAAGGGTAGGTGGAACATGGGGTCTTCCCCCCTCCCCCCAAATCCACCAGATCCTCCTCTCCGCGGACCTGCTATTCCCACACAAACCAGTGTTCTCCCAAAAGTTTCCTCTCAAGACTTGATTAGTGGTGAGAGCAGACAGAGGCCCTGGGCCAGAACAGCCGCTGCCTGGCCAGCCTGGTGGTGACTGCAGATGGCAGTGGGTCTGGTGGGACAGACCCACGCGCCCCTCAGATCTGAAGAAGAACAGACAGGAGCCAATGCAATCAAGAGAGGATGGTGACCGTGATGGGGCCCCCACATTCCCCCACGTGGCTCCCTCACAGCTAAGAGCAACTCCTTTGGCCCAGCCTCTGCTTTGCCCCCTCCTCCCTCCCGCTACCTGGGAGAAAGGCTGGCTGGAGCTACAGGAACGCCACTGCGGGCTGGGAGGCCACAGAGGCGTCCTGTCTCCAGAGCCCACCGAGTCATGCCTGCCCAGCCTGCCCACCTGAGGGCCGAAAGGTGGGTTTCTCACTCATTAACCTCCAGAGCCTTATTCTTTATCACATCAAATCTACTCTTCATCACTTGACTCTACAACTTGTTCTGAGTGGTGCATTGAGAAAAAGTTTGCACCTGATCACCAGCCGCCTCCGCCCTGTGCGAGATGCACCCCCCCATACTGACAAAGGAGGTTTCTCCAGAGAGACAAAGGAGAAACTCAGCCAGGAAGGTTCCTCTGCTCACCCCTAAGCCTCCCTCCTAATCAGCAGCGCCACCCAAAGCTCCAAACTCCCTGCGTGCACGCACCCGGCCACCCCAGGCCACCCACGGCTCAGCAAGTCACAGCCCCCCCACTTCAGGCCCAACTTTACCCCACACCCTGCCAAGTCCACAGTCACACGAGCACCACGCTGCGTGCGCAGAGGTCGCCCCAGGATGGGCGCGGCAGCTGAGAGGTACTTACTGATCGTCATGGACTCTGGCACGGAGGCTGAAGGGAGCAGGCTGCTCAGAGGACTGCCTTGGCCTGGAGAACTGGCTTCCACACTGGGGAAGGGGGAAAAGCAAAGGAAGAAGTTACGCTCAGCCATGGAAAACGCACAGCCTCCCCATTCGGAAGACAGGCATGAGCCATGCTTACTCCTGTCACCTGCTAGAAGGCACAGAGGCAGCCTCTGAGGTGCCAGCCAACTCTCATCACTCGCTAATCCCGCATTTGCGAGTCCATCTACTCGCTAGCATCTGGGGCGCTTCCTCAGACACTCATGAACGTGCGCAGAGTGGCAAAAATCTTAAGTCTCCAGATGCGCACGCCCCAGCAGGGTCAAACACCTGAGTTCTGCGCTTCTTTCATACTGTAAATGTATCTTCTTCACAGTCCACTTAGTGCCACATTTTTCACATTCTTGTACTATTTCTTGGTGCTCTTGCTGTCTCAAACGGCTCCCACGCACGGCTGATCTCCTTTGTTCAATGATGAGTCACAGCACTGCTGACCTTGAGTTCAACGTCAGTGAACCAACAATATGCATTAGGTCAGGCCTCTCGCAACAGGAACAGAGAACCAACTTATGAACTGATCAGTTGAGAAAAATGTTGTGGCCAGAGGCTCAGAGGAAACTAAGCCTGCATCCCACCGGGAGCAGTGGCTCGGTCTTCACAGCGGCTTTCTAGGCCCTAACTACTCCCCCAGCAAGAACCGACTACATGTCTACACTGCATTTGCCATGTGGAACAATAATACTGCCTTTTATAAAGACAGCAGAGTCATAATATGAGATATACAGAGACATACAGACACACACACACACACACACACACACACACAGAGGCATAGACACACACAGACACACACCTCCAGGAGGGCTAGAACAAACACCAACAATAAAATGGAGTTGGGAGTTAGGAGAGATTTCTTCACTTACTGATGCATTTCTCATTTAGAGATTTTCTAAAATAAACAGCAAAAGGCCTCTGTGCTGCAGGGTTTGCTGAGAGCAGTGACTAGTTCAAGCCCTGAGAACTGGGGTCACTTCAGAGAGCAGCACCCCCATCCCTTTAGGGGAGCCCACAGCGGCCAGCATGGGGCGGCCGGTGACTCCCAGCCTGGAGCTACGGTTGAACATGCAGATGCACTGTGTCCCTGAGACACCATGGTGACGCCACGAAGATAAAGCCGGAAGAAGTGTCAGGCAGCAAGGCCTGCATCGCAGGGAGACTGGTGCCCACTGGCCCGAGGGCTCCGGGCAGCTCCGCCTGTGAGAAAACCCAGCGGTCCTCGCTGCCAGGAGCCAGACTGCACCTTCCACAAACTCGGCACCTAAGTGGCTTATAGATCACATTAGAGTAAACTCATTCCATGTTACTATCAAACATTAAAAGAGGTTCCCAGGTGTGGCCCCGAAAGTGTGCAAAGCAGAGGTGGCCCCAGCAACATGTGAGAACTCTGTGATGCCCACAGTCTCGGTGCAGGGGCCTGGGCGGTGCGGCAGCCTGTGACACAAACCTGGGCCTGGGTGTCCGCGCCCGGCCACCCAGCAGGGCCCTCCTGCCTGTAGAGAGAAGGAAATGCAGTGTGTGGACAGCACCTTCCACCCCAACGGCCACTCGGTCTCCGGACACTGACCTGTACCGAGGCCCAGGATCTGGAAGAAGGTGGTCCCCAGGTCCCGTCCCGTTCTCCAGGCTTCCAAGGGGAGCATCTGTGCACAGGGACCAATCACAGAGACAAAGTCAGGGGTCTGTTTTCATCCCGAGACAAGGACACAGGCAGACACGGGCTCATCTGTGCAGTTGACTTGGAGATTTTCCCTAACCTGCTCCCCATACAGGTGCTTCAGGGGTCATCTCGGATTTGGCACCTGTCACTGAGAGGAGGCCCTCTAGTCCCACTTAACCTCTCGGACCCTGCACCATCTGGAATTACCAGTGAGGTCCACGTCCACAGGCAGCCTCAGAGCCATGGAGGATCAATGAGCGGCTGGACAAAGGGCGCCCGCCCGTTGTGGCTTCAGTTGGCCACAAGAGGGCAGCGTGGCCTAATCGCTAACGCGGAAAGGAAGCGCCTCTTTCCAAAGTCACTTGCTGGGGGTGGGGGGGGCCCGGGGAAAGGCATCTGGAGGACTAGAGCATAGTCCTGCACTCCTCCCTCTTTCAGAAGCCGAAAGAGGGAACTGAAAAGTGTCAACTTCCTTTCCTTGCTCCCTGGTATTAGTTTAGGGTCTAGGCTCTGTCTGAATGTCTGGGCCCAACCCCCGCTCCCCAACTTTAACAAGTTACCTGGTCTCTCTGTGCCTCAGTTTCTCATCTACGAAATGGGATGACACTAGAGCCTACCACACATTTGTAGTAATGCCCAGCATGCATTTAAGCTCTCGCTACCCAGCAAGAACACTGAGTGAGGCTGCCGGGGTCACTCTCTGACTAAGCCCATTGACCGCTGGCTCTCCACCCCCAGTCAACAGGAATTTCCCTCAAAAGTCCCCAAGGAGCTCTTCCCTCATTCCCTGTTCCCTGCCTTCCTGAGGCTAAGATGAGGCAGACTGAGCTCCTCACTGGGAGCTCTCTCTGGGTCCCCAGCTGTGGTCCCGACTCCATGTCCCCTGTTCCCTTGGCAAACCTGGCAAGGACTTGGCTCCAGCTCTGGCCTCTGCGTGGCACCCCACAAGCCCTCCCTCTGAATGGATCTCACCCCTGAATGCTGGGCCCACACTGCTAAGTACCTGCCGGTACCTGCCAGGAAGCTCCACTGGGATACCCCTGCCACTCAACTAACCGTGACATTCAAAACTGCTCCCCTCTGTCACCACTTCCTGTTACCTTGAGCTGGGTGGGGAGCTAGCAGCTCCCCCAATTCTCTTCCACTCCTCACTCACCAGCTGCCTCCACACCACCCCAGTTCAAAGGCTCAGCATCTTCTCAGGGTTTTCCACAGTGGCCTCCCCCACACCCCCAGCTGTCTCACCCTGGCCAGGCTCACGCACACCAGAAAGAAGCTACAATGGGGCTCCACAGCTCCCTAATACAGCACCAGAACCTCCATGAGCACCATAGCCACAGCGGGCCTGGAGCTCTGGGGACACAACCGCAGAAACCCCTGGGCAGGGGCTTCTGTCATCTTAGTTCTACAGACGAGGAAACGTGCTGGAGGATTCCAGGCTTGCATGCAAGATCACACAGCTAATGTGTGAGGCCTGACCCCCCCAGGCTCACTCAGATGAGCTGAGGCCTGGCCCCTGGAATGTGTGCCTCTCCTCCATCCACACGGTGGCCCCAACTGCCAGACATTCCGCATGTCTGCTGACGGGCAGCGGTGAGGGGCCCACCCCCAGGCCCAGGCTACGAAGACCAAGCGCCATCCCCGAGTGAAAGGAGCTGGCCTGGCAGCAGGCACCAGCCAGGCCACCCAGGCCCCTTGGTGATGTCAATTGAGCCCAGAGGGAAGCTCCCTTGGGTGCGGGAGGTGACGTGTCTGAGTGATGGGCTTGACCAAGTACAGCCTTCACTCCCCTCAACCACGGTTTCAGTCCAGTCAGTCGACAGGTCTCCGACGACACTACAGACGCACTAAGGTGTTTTCAGAGACCACGTTCACCTTTTACTGCATTGATTGTGTGGCTGTCCTGGTTTACCACTCGGCATTACTGCTGACCTCTGCCTGTGACTAGCGCATAAATAACCGTCATCCCAGGTATGTGTGCTGGTAGAACAGTCCCCAGTGTGTCAGCACAACTGTGCTTCCGGCCTCCCCTGGGCCTGGGACCACAGCCCCTGCAGAGGAGGGGAAGGTGAGCCAGGCAGGGCGGGCAGGATGGGGAGACAAGCGTCCACTCAGCCCGGCTCCCAGCTCCAGCTGCTATGCCCACAGGACGTCCTGTCCTATCGCCACAGCGGTGCGCACAGTCAGTCTTCATGGGCCTTAGGATGTACAGGGCAACTTTTCCCAGTCACTTAGGAGCCCTTCACCCAAATCTGAGGGACGAGACATAGCAACAATGCCCGCTTCCTTGGAGTGGCGGTCAAGACTGGGCGGGCTGGCCGGCTGACCACCCTATGGGTCTGGGCTCACTTCCAGGGCTCGGTATGTGCTGGCTGCTGGTCTCACCATATCACCCCGACTCCCACAGTGGGACTCTCCCTGAGAACAGAGTCACTAGCCTGAATTTACCAGTGGGAACTGGCCCCACCTCCAGAGCCAAGACAACCTGCCGGCTCTCCCGGGGCCTCAGCATCTCGAAGGTCCCAAGGGGCCCAGGGGCGCCCGAGCAGCCCCGCCCTGCTGTGCCCAGTGAGTCTCAGCAGGTTTCTGTCCCTGCACAGCAGCAAGAGCAGCAGTCCGTCATCTGCTCAGACGTCAACAGCTCCTGAGCAGCGGGTGCGCCCTCATGGCTCCTAACCCAGGTCTAGTTAGACCAACCGAGGTTGTGGGGTACAAGGCCTCGCTGACTGGCTGGTGCTGGGGCAGTGGCATCTACAGAGCAGCCACTGTACCAGGCATGCCCTATTCCCAGGGCAGGCTTTAAGAGAGCTACTCCCTGACCCCACAAAACCCTCTGCACGAGAGGTTTAGCACCTTTAGAGCGACAGGTTCTGGAAATCCCTCCTTTCTCCTAAGAGGCAAAAATAATGGTTATGATTTGTGGTCACCGTGTACACAACCAAGTTCAAAAAATCACTGGTGAGAAAACCCCAGGGGCTCCCCGAGGTCTTGCCAGCTGGTTCAACCCAACACCACACCAAAGACAGCAAGAAGGGAAGCCAAACCTGTCACTCCTGCCTCTCAACAGGCCCCCTGGCCCTGAGCCCCCTACTCCTCTGCCCTCCCCTACCTGCACAGGTAACCAGGGCACTGCTGGCCCCAGAGCCAAGCTCTGACTGCAGGAGAAGGTCGCCAGGCAACACCCACCTGCAGGGCTGTAGGAGCCCACGCCGCTGACCGGGAAGAGGACGTCGGTGTCCCCATGCAGCACCTGCAGCGGCGCCCAGTTGTGCGTCTGGGAGGGGCAGGGGTTCCCGTCCAGGGGCCTGAGGGGAAAGAATACAGCTGTGTGACCATGCCAGGGGCCCCCGGCTCACACTCACCACAGCATCCGCTGCGCCTCCCCAAGTTCCTTCTTGGGAACCAACCAGACCATGATGGGGCTGAAAATAAGAGACCTGGCTGGGAGTCAAGAGCAAGTCATTCGGATCCAGGCCTCCCACACTCGTTCTGTCAGCCAGCATTTACTGAGCACCTACTGTATGCAAGGCAGCATGCACACAGAATTTGTGCTGGCAAAAGAGCCAGCAGAGTTCACCACCCACGGAGCTTGCAGCCTGTGGAGGATGCAGACAAACAATCCTGCAAGGTGTGAAAGGGCAGCTGAGATGTTGGAACTGGGCAGGGAAGCCAGGAAGCCTTCCTGGAGGAAAAGAGGGCTGAGATGAGAGCTGCAGGGAGCACAGGGGTCACCCAGTGAAGAGGAGGAACAAGGAGGGTGGGGGGAAGGAGCTGCCTGTGCAAAGGGCTAGGACAGGAGGCGGCACCTTGTGTCTAGGCTCTGAAACGGTGGCTGCCTGGCAACCCGGGATAGGATCCCTTCGGCCGCTGGTTCTCAAACCCTGATGAGAGTGCAGAATCAGGTCCCCTTCCAAGAGGGGTCAGCTCAAACATTAACAAGGCTCATATGATCGGTTACAGAGTCACCTTACCCACAGAGTACAAACTAACCTGTACCATCTTCATAATGCCAGGCTGATTGTTCAGTTTCTTGAAGAAAGTATCTGCCCACTGAAGCCTGAGGAAACACTGATGAGCACTAGGGTGTATCTGTGTAGCACTCTGAAGTTTACAAAATCACTTTGAAACTCAATTGATAAAAAAGACCAAATGGGGTGATGATCACCCCTACCTGACAGAGGACGGAAAGGAAGTGGAAAGGAGGGAGCGGGAAGGAGGCAGGGAGGCGGGGAGGAGGAGAAGGCTCAGAGAGGCTGCTGCCGGAGCCGTCAGGTACATCAGCCCGGCAGAGGCCAGGCTCCCAGCGCTGCGTCCGGTCAGGTCTCTGACGCACGGCCCCGAGACCCGGCGAACACAGAGCAGGGGTCAGTGAGCTTTCTGTGAAGGAGCAGAGGGCAAATAGCTCAGGTTTGGTGGCCCTTGGCATTCTTTACTGGCTTTCTCTCTTTTTTTTTTTTTTTAAAGAATATAGTTTATTTATTTATTTATTTATTTATTTATTTATTTATTTATTTATTCAAGCACTGGGTAAGTCAGAAGCGCGGGAGAGTGAGAGAATTCACCAGAGCCAGAGCGGGGAGCAGAGCAGGCAGAAGGACCGAAGGACACTGCTGAGGGGAGCAGCAGGCGGCAGGAGAGGTCTGCGCACCATGTGGGACCCTCCTCCAGTGGCCGGGGAGCAGCCGGGGATCAAACCGGCACCACAGAGGCTGCGGGCAGCTTCGCAACCGAGCGCTCAACTGCTGCGCCACCAGGGAGGCCCTCTTTTTTTTTTTTAAGCAAACTTTTAAAAGCAAGGAGTCTCAGCCTGGGGCCAGGCCTGTGGGCACGGTTTGCCAGCTGCACTTTCAGAAGCCTGTCAGGTTAAGAACCTCCTTTCAGCCCCTCCACCTCCCTTCACAGAGCAAAGGAACGTGGGAAAATACGACCCGTAGAATTTTACAGAATACAGCCTTTAACCCCGCAGCTAAAAAAACACAGCAGGTGGGTGTCGTCAGAGAACCTGCCTAGCCTGGGCCAGTCTGACCAGCTGAGCCCCCAACTGTGCAGAATCGCTCCTGCAGCTGGTGACCCAGGGGACAAGGGATGGCAGAGGCACCCTCAGGAGAGGGTAGAAAAGCCAGCATCTTCCCGGGGGTGGCAGCACTGGCTCCACAGGCTGAGTTTTCTGCTGTCCTAAGGGAAATCTCACCACCTCCCAGCGAGGCATGCCGTGAAGCCTGGCTGAGGCCCAGCCCAGGACAAGGCAGGGTGGCCACAGGACAGACAGGGACAGGAGTCACAGGTGGGACTCCTGGGGCAGAGCCCAGGCTGGGCAAGGGAGCTCACCCTGCTTTTCACTAGAAAAGACACCTTCCTCAGAAGATGCCCAAAAGAGGAAACACTCCCCAAACACAACTGGGCCCACACTATTTCCTTAGCGTCTATTCTCTTTCTACACGTGACTTATCTTCGCGAGGCTGTGGTGGAACTAATTGGAGGATTTTATATTTGGCTTTTTGCATTTGATATTAATTCATAGGTATCTCTTCATACTCCTTGGATATCCTGAAACATCATCTAAGACAGAGCAAAGATCCTCAAGACACTGACCTCTAAACGCCGAATCACCTGCACTCACGGCTCCCCTGGGCCGCTGCTGGGGTCGAGGTTCTGCTCTTTAAACCAGACTCTGGTGCCTACACACAGCAGCCCTCCACCCAGGGCTCCGGGGGTAGGGCCTTAGGGATGCCACTGGAGCTGTCCCTGAGGCCCCCAGGCTCCCACCCCACCTCATCACTCAGTAGGCAAGGCACCTACTATGTGCCCAGAGCATGGAGGACATGGGGTGCTCGTCCAAGGCTCATCTGAAATCTTAGCAAACAGAATGAGCAGATTCTGGTGCCTGGCTTCACTGGGCATCTGCTTGCTAATGAGGGACAACCATTTCCCATCAGCTTATTATTCTCTTTGAATAGTGTTTTCGCCCCACTTCCCACAGCACACGTGATGTGGCAGAGCAACTCCTTTCTATAGTAAATCATCCTCTCTTAAGAAAAAAAAAAATTAAAGCCAACACTTGGGGTAAATATGGAGGCAAGAGGGACAAGATTTTCCTCCATCATCAAAGAAGTGGTTTAACTGTCAGGCCTACTTCTGGCCAACAGAGCATCTTAAAGCCCATCCGGCATCCGACCATGACAGAAGTGATGCCCATATCCACCAGGTGTCCTCTGGGCCTAGCCACCTTCCCTCACAAACTGGCTGTGCAGGTGAACTTCTAAAGTCCTGGCCCTCTTGGCCACTAGGCCTTTCATGTGAACACTGGCTGAAAATCAAAATAAAAGCATTACTCAGTAGGCCACCTCATCATTCCACTGTTCTCCGTGCCCCCAGATGCTTGGCAGAAGGTTCGATCAAGAGCCTGCCTTCATGCCAGGCAGAGGCTGTCCATATTCCTTGGGAGACCCCTGCCAAGTCAGCCTGACTGTTTTGTGTTTCACACATCACAATGCTGGTGGCACATGGGCCTCCCTGCTCTAGTCCCCTCCCTGGCAGCAGTCCAGCAGGAGGAGAGATGACCGTGCTTGAGGCCAAAAATCCCAGGGAGTGAAACAACTCAGAGAGGCATCCACCCAGAGACACAGAATGCAAATGGTAATTTCTACAGGCCCAGAGTAAGAATGAAAGGCAGATGTGAAGACTAAGAGTGTGTGTCAAGTTGGCTGAGCCAAGGAGCCAGGCAGTAGATCAAACATTATTCTAGATGCTTCTGGGAAGGTCTTTTTAAAATGCGATTCACATTTACATCAGGAGACTGTGGGTAAAGCAGATCACCCTCCAAAACATGGGTGGGCCTCATCCAATCAGTTGAAGGCCTTTATAGCAAAAGACTGAGGTTCCCCCAAAGAAGAAACTCTGTTCCAGTCTGCCTCTGCATTCCAACTGCAACCTGCCCCATGTCTCCAGTCGGCCAGCCTACCCTGCAGATATGGACTTGCCAAGCATCCACACACAGAAGCAAATCCTTTAAAATTAATCTCTGTAGATGATACATACACACATGCACACACACGCGCACAAGCACACACACACGCACACACTCACCCCACCCTCCCGGTTCTGCTTCTCTGGAGAAACCCAGCTAGCCCAGCCATCACAGGACCTGCATCCTGATCACATTCCTACCATGAGCAGCAACAACACTGCAGGAAAGATGCCCTGACAGGTACTTAGAAGTCTTTTTTTTTTTAAGAGGCATGTATTTTTATTTATGTATTTATTTATTTATTTGTTTGTTTATACATGCATTGGGTACAGTCAGAAGCGCGGGAGGGTGAGAGAATTCCCCAGAGCCAGAGCGGGGAGCAGAGCAGGCAGAAGGACCGAAGTACACTGCTGAGGGGAGCAGCGGGCGGCAGGAGAGGTCTGCGCGCCATGTGGGACCCTCCTGTGGTGGCCGGGGAGCAGCCGGGGATCGAACCAGCGCCGCAGAGGCCGCGGGCAGCTTCGCAACCCAGCGCTCAACCGCTGCGCCACCGGGGAGGCCCTACTTAGAAGTCTTATCTTGTCTATGAAAATGTTCATTTCAGAACAGCTAATACCAAAGGGAAAAAAACTTAAAAAGTCTACAACCTAGATACCTACATACTCAACTATGGGGGAGAGGGGTGCTTACAAAGCCACGACGTGTGGATCTGACTGAAATCAACCAGCCAATACTCACAGTGATGTAGAATGTGGAAAATACATGACAGCAGAGGCAACAACGCACCCTAGCTAGAATCCCAGTCTGCCGGGTAGCCAAAGCTCAACTTCTACGGAAGGTGGTTCCTTCACCCAGCCTGCCGGGTACCCAAAGCTCAACTTCTACAGAAGGTGGTTCCTTCACCCGTCCGGTGTGGGGACACCCACTACCTTCCCAGGGCAGTTCCAGGCATAAGGTCTAGAAGCAGCTGGTCACACGCCACAGTCACAGATGATTGATAGGTTGATGCTACTAATTTGGGTATCCATGTGAATGAGGATGAAAGGAAAAATCAAAACAACAAAAACAGGCTAGTCAATGTGAGTCAATGTGGCAATGGACAGCTTGGGGCCAGAGACACACAGTACCCGAGTCCCGTCCTGGGCCTGCGAGGTCTTCACTGTACATGCTCACGACTGGGGTTTGAGAGGACTGTGGCTAGGAGGCTCTGTGCACTATCCAGCTTGAGTGAAGGTAACTGGTTTTTCTGCCACATTTATTTGGCCTTGACAGTAAGAGTAAGCTGAGGCATCATCATATGAGGGCATCACAGATCAGCTGGTGGTGGGTCTTTCGTGGCTACCCACACTCACGCCAAAGGCCCCACATGCAGTTACCCCCCATAACTCAACCACAAGGGAGACGCTGTTCATCTCCCAGGCTCAGATGGGTCTGAGGTTCTGGGAGGTAAAGAAACTCATCCAACCTGGCCCAACCTAAGTCACACAGGTAGGAAGGGGAGCTCAGCTGGTCTTGTCTCTTTGCCCTTCACTCTGTTTTTCTGCTCTGTGCCCTCGCGTGCTTCAAGACCCTTCCCCGGCATAAACCTGCAGTGACTCCAGGGTTAGGGTGGCGAGTGCAGACAAAGTACTGCTCTTCTCACCTCTGCAGATCGACAGAGAAACAACTAGCCTGGGAGCATCCTCTAGAAACACCCAGCCTTCTCCTGAGCTTCCCGTGAGTGACAAGTGAGAGATGGGAGGGAAAATCCAAGCAACAGAAATGAATGGTCCCCATCTATAAAGCAAGGATTTCAGGGCACACATCTTGACACCAACTTTGTAACAAGCACCTTCAATTTCTACCTCCTTCCCCCTCCCCCCAGTTCTCAGGAGAACAAGCAGCTAGCACACCCTCCCTCCTCCTAAATCAAGGTCTGAAAAGTGAGCGATGGCCTAGACGTCTCAATTCACCCAAACTACAGAGACACAGCAGGAGGGTCGCCCCTTGCTGAGCCCCCGGTGGCACCTACTTCTCGGGTGACTCCGAGCGGCCGCTGTGCCTCCTGCCCACCATGCTCCCGCACACGGCGTCCTCGTCCTCATCCACGTCGTCGTCGATGCTCTTCACGTCCAGCTTCGGGTATCCAAATTCCCCGTTCAAAGACAGGGAATCGATTTTCCAGGAATTGCTGCTCTGACTCCCGTTGGAATTTGGCCCGAAGGGGCTCTCGAAGGCCGACATGATGTTGAGGGAGGAGCGGTCGGAGTTATCCTCGGAGCTCTCCCCGGCGCCCAGGGTCTTTCTAAAAACGTCGCTGGAGTTCTGCTCGTCTTCCTCGTCATCGAATGAGATAATGTTGGTCACCTTCTTTTTCTTCTTACGTTCCTTTTTACATTTGGCCTCTGGCAAAAAGAAAAAGGTAGAAGGAAAAGCAGGCACAATTAAGGGATGTTGGAGCCAGCTTGCCTCTACCCTGGAAAACACTCCGCTATCCCACTGAACAATAATTTGTAAGAAAAATCGATAAATTCAGATTCTGTTTAAATCCTGGGGGTGGGGAGGGAATGTGAAGGCAAAGTGCTAATAACCTGCCTTCCTTAGACACAGAGCAGCTGCATGAACAAATGATGGAATGAATGAATGAATGAGGATTGCGCTGCTCTGCTTTACACCCTCGATTCCAGCTTGTTCTTATTGAGCTGTTTTCAGGGCGACTCAGGGAGACCCTGAACATGAACATGAACACGAACATCAGCTGAAAATGCAAGTGCACCAGAGTCCAGTCCTCTCGGCACGTCCATGGGACAAGATATGTCCGCCTCAGCCACAGCTGCTAGCCTGTACCAGCCCGCCTGCCCCCTCGCCGCCCCTCCGCTCACCGGCACTGACACTCTTGGACACAACGGGCAGGGGGTCGGTCTCCTGCTCGGGTTTGATGAGGATGGCCACCGGAGAGGACGCCGTGATCTCTCTGATGAGGCTGCTCACTCCCTGCGTGGACTCCTTCAGCAGGGAGGTCATGTTCTGAGTGGACTCCTTTAAGAGGTCCGAGACAGTCGGCGCAAACTTACTCTGCCCATTTAAGTCCTTGTTGTCGATGTTTATCGCGAAGAGTATGGAGTTCAGACCTGCCCCCAAAAAGGAAAAGTCTGGAGTTGTGTCTGCTTGGAATACTCACTCCTCCAAGGTGATAAACAGGTTGCTGAATTACAGGGGACACCCCGATCGCAACGTTGACAAAAAGATCCCACAAAAGTGGGGTAAATGGACACTGGCTACTGCAGCAGGTGAGTCTTTCCAAATATTCTCCCCAACATTCATTGCATCATTTGTTCATAAGAAGCCAATCAGGGGAGGTTAAGGTGTACAGTGTGGGGCCAGACTGCCTGGCTTGAATCCCAGCACTGCCACTTACAATGAGACCCGAGTCAAGTCACTTACAACCTCTCAGGGCCTCCGTTTCCTTCTCCGTAAAATGGGGCAATAGTATCTCTCAGAGTTCAAAGTATCAAAGACCAAAGAGACCATCACCCACCAAAAACACAGCTGGAGGCAACAGCGTGCAGCGATAGGACCATCACTTTGGGCAAAGCCTTGCCCGCAGCCTGCAGAGGGGATGTGCCCTGACCTTTCCTCGCTGACGGGCTGGCTGGGGTAACTCACAATATGTGGGATTCGGTCGGTGTAAACTCTCAGAAGAGAAAAAAGAAAAGAGGCAACAAAGGACTTGGAAGCAATTTGCCCATTTCCGTTGGGACCATCTTTGTGAGCAGCAAATAAGATACTTAACAAGCTGCGGGTGGACCTGACTCCGGGGCCTTCACCTCCACATGATGGGCGCCTGACTCCATCACATCTGATTCTCTCCCAGCGCCATCAAGGCTGCTGCTGTGCTACTGGGATTCCCACCTCCCAGGGGAGGACAGTGAAGGTGACAAAGCTGGCAGGTCACCAGCCTTAGGTCACCACCTGGCAAGGGGCAGAGCCAGGTGTCAAGAGCAGGCCTCCCACCTCCAGCTCCCTTCACATGGCATCTGCCAAGCCCTCAGCCCCAGTCTCTCTGCAGGGGCTAAACTCCAGATATGTACACTCAGCGCTCAGCAGCACTCAAGGAAGGCCCATGGCCAGTGAGTCGGCACAGTGGAAAGGGACAGGGAAAATCGGAGCACGCATGGCAGCTACAAATTCACCCTTGGCAGCCTCCCGCCCCCAAGCTTCACGGCGCCCCTGCAGGCTCTGCCAGGCTTACCAGCCGCCATGGTGGGAAGCATGCTTGCCCTTTCCTCATCCATCACGAAAGACCAGTCTTCATAAAAGGTGCTGCAGGTGGAGAGGGAAAGGAGAGAAGCTCTGAGCAGTGGTTCTCTGCATCTACTGGCAGATAATTCCACTATGTGGCCTCCGCCTGGGCTCCCCAGGGTGGATACACGAGGTCTCTGCTGGGCTGAAGCATATGAACAAAGGAGGGAAGCATGTACCCAACGACGTCCTCATGGGCCTCTGCGATCTTTAGCGTCCCCTGGACTTGAGAGTACAGAGGCAGACAGGAGATATAACCATGCTAGGGAAGCACATCTACGCAAAGGAGAAGGGGACAGAGAAGTGACTTCCACTGAAGCAAAAGACAGGCAGGGAACCCAAATCGGCTCATAGCACCCCCTTCCCCCACTGGATTAACACAAGAAGAGACCATTTAAAAAAAAAATGACAGGCTTCAGGGCTCCATCAACCAGGCACAACTACGACCAACTTGGGCTGCAGGCCCAAAAGCCCATGTTATCCCTCAAAAGGCCAGGGAAGCTAAAACAGCCCCACCCGGCAGTAGGAGGAAGGAGGTTAAGGGGTCTGCAGGGTCTGCCAAGGTCATCTGGTAACAGCCAGGACTGAAAACAGGCCTCAGTCCAATTCACCAGCCCTTCATCCTACCTCCTGATGAGCGCTAACCGGTGACTGGCCTCCACCCCAACTTCCCCACCAAGCCAGAGAACGCCAAATTGGAGGAGTCAAAGCTCACTTTCACTAAAGCAGCATGAGTGATGAGTGACTGCAGTTCAGCGAGAAACTGGACACATTAGCTGTGCCGAGGTCACTGGATTCGACGCGCAGAAGCAGAGAAGAGAAGCCTCGCGCTCGAAGCACTCACCCAGATGTCAGTGGAAGCACAGCCACGTGTTCAGGTTGGCATCGCAACTGAACTTCTGATCCCCAAATGGTGAGTCTTTAAAAATCTGAGCCAGTGTTCATGTGTGTGGAGAAATTTCCCACATCGAGTCAGATCAGCAGCTAGTGACTCAGTTCAATTGCGATTTTAACAGAGGCTGTCACTCCAATTGGCCCTTGTTAAATTCAAGCCAGGGCTGAGTGTGCCAGAAAGAGCTTGAAGGAAACCCACGTTAAGGAAAGTAAATAAGCCCTCCTTAACTGGAGCTGGCCAGGACTCAGGGGGCACCTACCTTCCCACTCTCCTAAGCAGTACACCGTGGCTGCCGGCACCTGCCAGGCCCCCATCCTGCCCTTTAGACACAGAGTTGGAATATACACCCAGACAAATGCCACAGGCAATGTCAGTGGGTAGTTTTATGAGCCCTGGTGCACAACCCCAGAACTCCCAGCAGTTTCCTGGTAGAAAGGTGAGTGCGGGCAGGAAGGAACAGAAGAGGAGGCTGGAGCCAGGACACCCAAGGCAAGATATGAGGTCAGAGGAGCAGAAGTGGCACAAGGAAATGCCAGGAGATATCGCTGTGGGGTCTGGGTACTGCTGATGTGGGAAGTGCTCAGGGACACAACACCACCATAAGTCTAGTCCACCATTCTCCGAGGGACAAGAGACAGAGAGACCATAAATATTACAAGGATGAGAAAAGATGCCAACAGGGGAGCAGAGTCAGCCTGTGTGATGACAGGTGATTTCAGATTGTCCCCAGGGCGGACAGCACTGCCAGGCGTGGTGAAGGTAATACAGCTTCTGTGTGAAGGATCACCCACGAGCCCTGTGCTGGCCCAGGCTCAGATGCTCAGACCTCCCCACCCGGTCACATTTCTCTGGGTCCTGCAGTGGCCAGTGCAATGTCAGCAGAAGAGGGAGGAGGTATCGCTGCTGGGGGTAAGGGAAGGAGGAGCTTCAAGAGCCGGGGTGGAGTTCAACCACACCTCCTTCTCCTTCCTTGGCCATTGGATGGAGCCTCCACCGCCAGGGGTGCCCGAGTTAAGACACTCCTATGCCCCCATGATCGACAAGGAGCATGAAGAAATAAACTGGGGTTTCTGTGGTACCTGTTGCGGCAGCCTCACCAGGCCTGTACTAACTCAGAGCACATTTTTGTTTATGGTCAAGAAAACACAATAAACATGGAATTTCTTAATAACAAATGACTCCCTACTTACTACTGTCATGTTTCCTTCAGTCAACGTGGGACTGATTAACACCCCTGAAACAGAAGGAGTAAGACCCCCAGCACACCAGGAAAGACAAATGTGAAACAGGGTACCGCATCTGCCTCTGAAAGAAGCCCAAATTAAAATCCCACCAAGCCACCAGCAGGCTGTGTGAAGACACGAGCTCTCTCTACCCCAGCCCCCTTCCCGCCCAAGCGATGGTGGGTGTTACTGAGTTTGCTCCCTGCTTTACAGGCCCCCTCCTTTATTCTCAGCACAATGGTCCCCACAGCACAGCTGAACAAGCTGGGGACGTAAGAAGGAAACCCATTCACCCCAGTGGAGGGACTCAGCATAGGTAAGCTCTGGGCTCCCTTCCTAGAGTCTGGCACCAGGTACCTGAGCCTGCCCCCTATACCTTGAATGCGCCCCCCCGCACCCCATACCTAAGCCCAGCCCCCACGCCTGTACCTGAGCCCATCCCCCACCCCCTCTATACCTTAGCCTCCACCCCCCCTATCCCCCGCCCCTACCTGAGCCTGCTGCGGTCGGCCAGGAGCATGTGCAGGTAGCGCTCCAGTGAATGCTCGTTGAGGGCACAGCGCAGCCAGGCCCGGCCACGTCCCACATCGGAGGCAATGTGGCGCAGGGAGTAGAAGCGCTGCAGCTCGTGCTTGTTGAGGACCTCCTTCACATAGAACCAGAACACGGGCTCTGCAGAGAGAACCAGACACGTCACCCCCTGGGCCAGGTGCTCCATGTGTCCCGCGCAGTGCTCCCTGGGCATTTCTGAGGATGGTCGAAGAGTTACTTCCTTAGCACAGAAAAGGAAGAAACAGGAGGGTACACCAAAATAAAAGTGACCCCAAATCCACATACAGAGATGACCATTGTTAACATTTGCAAGTATTTCCTTCAGGTCTTTTTTTCCCTGCACTTTTCCATTTTATACCAAGTTGACACCTGTGATAGGGTGAATTAAGACCCCCATCCTCCTCCCTGGAACCTGTGACGGATTCAGGTAATGGTCTAGAGGTGGGAGATCATCCTGGGGGTTTCCGTGGGCACAATCACATGTCAGCTTCTCGCGGGAGGAGAGGGGCTTGATGCAGAGAAGGCAACCCCGCCAGGGAGGGGAGACTGCAGTGGCGTGGCCGCAGTCCAGGAGAGTCAAAGCAGGGAGAGGCAAGGAGCTGATTCTGCCCTGGAGCCTCCACAGAGATCCTGTGATCATCTTGACTCAGCCACTGAGCCTGACTTTGGACTTGACACTGTGAGAGAAGCCATGTGTGTTAAGTCACCAAGTTTGTGTTGCTCTGGTGGAGAAGCTGTAAGGAACCAGTACCTCTACCGTGTGTGTTTGTCTCTATGTATACGGGAATGTAACCATACACACACAGATACATGTGTGTCATAGTGTAACCTGGTTAGTTTCTTGCCTAAATCATGCGCATTTTCTTGTAAAATTTAAAGAGCTTTGAAAACATGATTTTTGATAGTTCCCCAGTTAAATATAGTTTAACTAAAATGATACACTGTCGACTTCCCCGCTATGCTGCTTTGAACGTCCCTGTACATAACTGTCCTTGCTTCCATCCTTGGGAGAGACTTCCAGACGCTAAATCACTATAGGAACAGATTTAGGGCTTGAAGGGAAAGCTGAGAAAGTTTGTTTTTATCCTGAAAGGAGTCAGTATCTCCTCACATCCCACCTTTTACCCACAGGCACACAGATTTTTCAATATATACCTGATTATGTGATCCACTTAACAATGGCTCATCAACACTTTTTCACGCTGCCAATAATAACAGCAACAACACCAGCTGCACTGTTTGCCGAACTTTAATTCCATGCCGGCCTCTGCACTAAACACTCACACCTGGCCTTAGTTCTCACTGCCACTAAGGCCAACTGCACTCAAAAGGTTCCAGGCCTAGAGAGGTGAAGTGACCTGCCCAGCAATACGCAGTTAGGAAGAGGTAGCAGCCCTGGAAGCTGAGTATGAACCCCTAAATCCCACTGCCTTGTGAACTGGGGGGCAGAGGGAAGAAATCTACCTTTTTCAAAGTTGACTGATATCCAAGGAGAAAACCCTGAGTCTCTACAGCTAGCCAGGGATTCACAGCCAGGAGTTAATAAACAAGCTCACAGGCCCACTGAGAACTTGACAGGATCTTGAACCTTCCTTCCAGAGGGAAGCAAACACACACCTCCATAAACTAGACACCCGGCTAATGAGCCGGCTCTAATACTCAGTTCGGCTCCAGTGACCAGGACTGCACTCTGCCTGGGCTCCCTCAAAGATACCACGGGCTCAGCTCTAAGAGGGCCCCCATTTAGTGGGCGGGAAGAACAGGAAGAGACCGTTCCAAGGCGGAGCCTGGGCAGGCCACTCAGGTATACTAAGCTTCGGAGTCTGTCCCATAAAGCCAGCCCAGAGCTGCAGGCGCTGAGCACGATACCCACTGTGATGGCCAATGCTGGCTGTTACCGTCTCCTGCAAGAGCATCTCCCATTGTGTCCCTTTCTGTTAACAGCATCTAGATGTACACCAACGCGTAAGTGTGTGTGGACTTGTGGGTGGAGTCAACCCTGGGATCATTTAGAATAAACATGCCAGGGATGACTAAAATCACCACCAAGAGGGTATTTCACTCAGACCAGCCTCTGTCGCAATCCCAGACCACCATACTGACCCTTCCCAAGCCCACTGGACCAGCCCACACCACACAAGCGCTGTCCAGCCTTCTTCCCACTCCCTCTTGGTGAGCCCAAGACCCAGGGCCAGGCGGCCAGTAGCTTGCTCTGAAACACACAGCTAACAGCTGCGTATCCGGCCCATGTCCAACCCGTGACCCTGACCTTGAGTGCACATGAAACTGTCAGGTGTGTTTTCACCTTTCAATTTCACAAATTGCTTATTGCTACAGAACCTTCCAGAGCCTGCCAGGGTGATGCTGATGATGATAATTATCCCAGCAGGACTCCATTTCCACTGCCAGAATTAATGTGGGCTATTCAGAGCACAGCTCCCCTGCACACTAACACGCGGTGGCTGTAATTTAATTTGGGAATATCCACCGATCTCTTATCGCTTTGAAACGAGGGGCTAATTCCAAAGTGGGCCAGGGCTCCAGGTTTCCTGAGCTCCTGAAAGCCATCTGTCCACAAGAGCGGGAGCCAGGAAGGGGGCGAGTGCCCGCTACTGGGGGTGCTCATTAGCAGAGGATGACTAATGGCCCAGGGCTCTGGGCAACGTTTCTAACAGCCTCAACTTTAACAGGTGCCAAGAATTCAAGAATTCATGCTGTGGAGGCCAAAAATCTTGGCTCAAATTCTAGCTCATGCATTGTGTGACCTCAAGCGACTAATGCTGTCCATTCCTTGTCTGTCAATTGGAGATAATGGGATCTTCCTTCAGGGTTCACTAAAAGGGGAGGCGAGAAAATGAAACGCACAGGTGAAGCGCTGAGGAACCGAGGCCTGAGAACAGCATCCCTGTCCTTTCTTCTGGGAGCAGCACCCCTCCTTCCGAGGGGAACCCGGTTCCACGTGCCTTCGGTACTACCAACCTCCCTGTACAAAGGTGGGTAGGAGACCCAGGCTCATGGATGCGTGGCCCCGCAGGGCCTGACAGCCTCACCTCACTTGCCCCAATTCATCTTGTCTCTGCTTGCATGTGACTCTCAATGATGTATCATTTTTAACTTGGTATGTTTTAAAGATGAATAAATGCACAATAATCTCACATAACGGATTATTTCAGTAGCTTTAAATTTAAAAATTAAATATGCCTCTTTACTCCATAGAACAAAAGGCAATTATCTCAGCAAGGGTGGATGGCAATCACAAAGATAAGCAAGAAAAGGAGAAGAAAGTGTGTACAGGACTGTAGGGTAAATGAAAAATCAGGCTTTTTTCCAGTTTCCCACTGCTAGCCACTATGACCACCACCTGCAGTCTTGCACACTCCTAAGTTTTGTGGCTGCCTCGGACTGAGGGTGTGGCCACGCGCAGTTTTCAGGGGAAGGTCAGAGACTATACTTAAGAGCAAACAGGCCAGTGAGGGGTACTCACGTCTGACCTGAACTGCCCGGAGCCCTTCCCCCAGTGGCAGTACTATTTCTACAGGCTCGTTCTATTTCTTGGGTCTGTATCCAAATGCCCCAGAAAAAGGCTGTGTCAGGTCACTGTAGAGAAGAATAAAACCTCCATCCACAACTGACTGCTTAGCTGCTTATCAAATCTGTTCTTCCTGAACCCCCATCGAGACTTCACTGCCAGCATCCCTGGTAGGGCCCAGTGGCTCCTGGTCTCCACGTTCCCCATCCTGATTCACTCAGGCCTGCCATCCTTCTGGCTCCCATGAAGCCTGAGGTGTGCATCCCAAACTCAAGAGCACACAGCATCCACCCCATCACACAGCAGTCTGCAAGCGCCTCCTCCCATGAGAAGCATGACCCTTCTCTCGCTCCAGGGAAGCAAGAGCTTCTAAAGCCACCTCGGGGCCTCCCTGGTGGCGCAAGGGGTTAAGCATCACACCATGAAGCAATCCACAGCCTCTGCATCACAAGTTCGATCCCCAGCCGGCTAGGAAGAAACCCACATGGCACAGCAGACCTCCCCCTGTCTTGCCCGCTGCTCCCCTCAGCAGTGTATTTTGGTCTGTCTGCCTGTTCTGTTCCCCACTCTGTCTCTGATGGATCCTCTCACCACCACCACCACCACCACCACCACCACCCCCACATCTCTGGCCTGTACCCCAGCTCTTGTATGCATAAATAAATAAATCTTTAAAAAAAGAAAATAAAAAATAAAAATAAAACCACCTCGTTACCTTCAGGGTGCACCTCAGCCTCTGCTGAAGAGCCACTTCCATGCTAACAGGAGAAAAGCAAAGGCCCTGTGAACCGACACGCCAGAGTCATGGACTATAAACTGACAACTCTGTGGCCAATTTGAGCGCTAACCCAGGACACAACACAGCTCAAATTCTAGCTCATTCTAGCCAGATCAAACACGGCCAGGTTCACGAGGCACAGGCCAGCAACGCCAGTCTCGCCTTAGTAAACACCACTGGCCCACGTCCTCAGGCACCCCAGCTGTCAGGGACCCTCCCCTGTGAACGTCGTCAGCATCTAGTGACGCAGGGAACAGCGCCCTGGCTTCTGGCTCCTTCCAGAAGGCCAGCCTACCTCCAGCAGCTGTTCAGTACTTTTATCACCAACCCTGGATGGTTGTCCTTTTTCTGCTCCTTGCAGACGTCCTTCCAAGGTCTCTTTCACCAGAACCAGCTGATCTTCGAGTCACGAACACAACAGAGAAACACAAAGAGGGAACTGAAAGCCTTTAAGGATGGGAGGGCAGGAGAGTGAACTTCCTCTCACAATCAAAAGGATGGGCTGGGTTCTCCTGGCACATGTGGCTTCCTCCAAAATTAATTTTCTACAGAAATGAAATTGTTACCCAAGGTGAACCAATAAGGCAAAATATGAATTCTGCTTTGAGCTAAATGCAATCAACCGTTTTCAAAAAGCCCCACAGAGGATCAAGGAAGTCGGCGTCTAATTTTACAGCTGGGGCTATATCAGTACCACCTGCTTTCAACAGACTGTGAAGATGTACAGACAGGGTGGGCCCAGCTTCCCGGGAGAACGAGCAGCCTGTCCTGACAGCTGGGTCTCCCAGCCGCGACTCGAGCAGTGACTCGCGCCGTCCTTTGCAGGTCAGGACTGATGCACGGGAGCTACCAAGATGAGCGAGGATGGTCCCGGTCCTTGACCAGCAAGAGACACGGCGAGGACAAGAGGCAGGGCCACAGGACGGTCTAGTGGGGAAGGACGAGGGCTGGAGGAGGGCGCCTGTGGGAGCAGCACCGGCCAGCCGGGCAGGGAGCTCGTGAATGACCTGTGGAGAGAGATCTGAAACTTCCAGCAGGGGCTGAGCAAAACCATGCTGACACCACACCACACCCGCTGGAACAGCTGTTGTGACAAACCCAAAATGTCACTGAGGATTTCTTTTGCCCTGGAGACTTTTTCCCACAATAGTGTTTCTCCAATAAGAAGCCCGAGTGGCGTCCCCTACATGCAAGTCCACCCGGAACCCGAGTGAGACCAAAGCTAGAAAGATTTTTTGCAGACATGATTAGTTCAGATGCGGTCCTAATGGAGTGCAGAGGGTCCTAAATCCAGATCTATTCTCTACGGAGAAGAAAGGACACGAGAGTCGTGGCCGTGTGCAGAGGGAGGCCAAGCCAGGGCCGGGCTGCAAGCCAGGTCCCGCCACGAGGGACGGCTGCCAGCCACAGGGAGTGTGGAGCCCATTCCCGAGGCCCAGGGTCAGCCCACAACATGGACACCTGGGCTCCAGGAAGGTGGGAGAACATATGTCTGTTGTTTAGAGCCACCATGTGTGTGTTAATTTGTGACTGCAGCCCCAGGAAATCGCTATAACCACATCCTAGCAAAAGCAGAAATGCAGCAGCACTCACAAGTGCCCAGGTGTGAACCAGCTCAAGCCCTGGCTGGCTTCAACTGAGTCTCCTCTGCCCTCATGGCCTGAGAAGCAACAGTAAGTCCTTTCTGAGCATAACCTCCTCCCGAGCTTCACATGACCTCAAGTTCTCCACACACGACGTGCACACCAGCAAGCACAAAGACAAGGCTGTGGTCAAAATCGAGACAAAGCCAGAAAGTCAGGGACTTCGGGCACAGTCAAACGAGAAGACCTCTCCAACCCCCTCCAGCTGGGGTGGCACAGAGGCCTTGAGGGTGGAGCAGGCTGCAAGGCCAAGTTGGAAGATAGGTGACACCCCACCCAGGGGCACCACTGGAGGAATGACACACCTGGGCAGCAGATGCCAGGAAACCACTCTCCACTAGTCCAGCCCACAGTCACAGCTGGGCCCAGCACGTGCTGGCAGGGGCGCTCTCCTGCACAGCGGAGGCTGGGGAGCCCAAGCCCCCACTCCTGGGTGATAAGGCAGTGCAGGGAGACAGGAAGAAGAGGAAAGGCAGAGAGAGCAAAATATGTGAACAGATAATGGACAAAACTGCCAACATTTTGTTTATGAAATATCTACACATCCAAGAAGCTAGAATATTCCTGCACAATAAATGAAAGGAAGTTTACACCAAGACACACCAAGGTCAAAACTGTTAAAAGTCAAAGACAAAGAGAAAGTCTTGAAAGAATCAAGAAGAAAGAAAAATGCCAGTTGTCTACAAATTCATCAAAAAAGGAAAGAAAAAGGAAATACTTCCCAGCTTGTTTTATAGGGCCAGAATAACCCAACTTGACCTCAAAATAGGACAAGGAAATTATAAGAAAATAAAGTAACAAGGCAATCTATAAACACATATGCAAAAGACTCAAAAATCAATTCAATGACAAAATAAAGATGCTGTATCATTACCAAGTTGGGTTAACTCTATGAATGCAAGGTTGGATTAACACAAGAAATTCAATCTCAATAAATGGAGGGAAAGCATTTGAAGATTCAAAATTCACTCGTGATAAAAATTGTTAGCAAGGGCCTCCCCGGTGGTGCAGCGGTTGGGCGTTGGGCTGTGAAGCTGCCCGCAGCCTCTGCAGCACTGGTTCGATCCGCGGTGGCCGGGTAAGGGTCCCACATGGCGCGCAGACCTCTCCTGCCGCCCGCTGCTCCCCTCAGCAGTGTACGTCGTCAGTCTGCCTGTTCTGCTCCCCGCTCTGGCTCTGGTGAATTCTCTCACCCTCCCGTGCTTCTGACTGTACCCCACTGCTTGTATAAAAAAATAAATCTTTAAAAAAATTAAAAAAAAAAAAAGAATCACGAATAGTAAAATCACTTTAAAAAAAAAATTGTTAGCAACTAGATTTAAAAAAGGGGACTGTTTTCATCTGATAAAGCTTTCCTCTAAAATCAGGAATAAAACAAGGAGCCCCTGGTATTTTCAATGCTATTCACTAATACCAGTACCCTGGAGGCCCTGATAAAGCAAGAAGCATACAAGAAGCAACTATGTTTCTATATACAATCAACCATCGGGAAAACAAGCTTAAAAAAAAAATACCAACTTCAAAATCTCAAATATCTAGGAACAGGTCTAACAAAAGATGTTCGCAAAAGACATTTTCGAGAGATAATGGAGAGTTTACATAAAGGAGGAGACACACGTTCATGGACTGGGATACTCGATATTAAAAATTGGTGAAATTCTCCCCAAAATAACTCCCTGCACTTCCAATCAGAACTCCACAAATTTTCTTTTGTGGAAATTGACAAGCTGATTTTTTAAAATGCTTGTGGAAAAGGAAAAGGTCCAGAATACTCACTACAACCTTGAAGAATAAAGCTGATGGACAGAACACTTGCCAGATATGAAGACTTTCTGTAAAATACAGTAACTAAGGGCAATGTGCTATTGGTACAAGGGTTACCGGACTGGTAGAATATAAGAGAAAGCCTAGAAATATATGGATGTCTGCTGTCTGACAAAGGTGGTAGTTCAGGGCAGTTGAGAAAGCATTGCCAACACTTGGGGCTCAGTCACTTGGTCCTATAAGGGAGAAACACCAACCCTCTCACACCACATACAAAAATAAATCCCAGTAAACGGTATAGCTCGAAATACCAGGTCAGACATAATTAAAAGATGACCACAGAGCCTCTTTATGGAATAGGCAATGAATTTCTGAAGCAGGACATGGGTTATATCAGTAAGAAGACAGATAGGCGTGACTACTTAAATGATGGACAGTACTTCTGCTCCTCAACAGATGTCACCGAGAGTAAAAAGGTAAACTACGGAGAAAACATATTTGTTGAAGGACAGAGAAGAAAAGGGAAGGAGAGATGCCAGCCCGAGGTGGGGGATGGAGGTTAGGGCCCAGGCAGCAGAGAATTTCCAGACGCCTCCCCCAAAAATGGCAGGGCTGATTTATCACTGAGAAATGAGGAGAACTAGCAAAAGATGACACATTTTACTCAGCAGTGACAGGAAAGCATCCCGGTAACCAGGAAGATCAGGAATTCAGGGCAGCAGCATCAGCAGGATCTGAAAGAACCTGCTTTTTTTAATGTAGGAGAGGACATGCCATGTTCTTTATATCACAGGCTGGACTTCAGGGGTCCCGTCCGCAGGAAATCTTGGAGGTCTCCTCAGCTGCACGGTGGACTCCTGGGGCTGCTGGGAGCAATGAGCGTGTTCATCTGTGTGAGGCTCACACTGCCAGGCTAGCACTGTGCACTCTCGGTGCCAACAGTGACTGTCGTCAGCCCTGCCCAGTCACCCAGAGGCAGGCGCATGGCACATGGGAAGTACTGACCACATGAAAGCGAGTGGTCGCAGTACTGGAGGTTCAGAAACCTGCAGGGTTTCTGCTGTTTGAGGCAGATGTGGCTATGAGACGGCAGGCTACCCTTCCCATAAAATGAAAACAATTATTCCTTTTCCAGCTACAGCCACGCACGCCACGCAGGGAAACAAGCCCTAGCTGCAGGCCCCGGGCCGGGGAGACAGCAGCACGCGGCCTGAGAACCCCAGACAGAGGATGGCATCCCAGAAACAGACGCCGGCCAGCCCCACCACTGGTTACAAGCGAGACACCCTCACACCCGGGCCTCTGCTCCACCACGTTCCCCTCTCTGCCCCACCCAAGGCGCATACAGGCGCCTCCATCAAAGACACAAAAATCAAAAGAGAACGAGAGAAGAGACGGCGCCCTCCATGCGCATCGGCCGCACGTACCTGTTTCGGTCTTGCTGGCGAAGCCCGCTGCCTGCTTGATGGCGGCCGCCGTGAGTGCCAGTCCTCGACTCCTCTTCAAGCCATGCTGCAGGACAGCTTCAAACTGGGCACACAGGCAGGTCACCCTGAGGGAGGACAGCGATTCATCAATCACCCTGTGACTGAGTAACCACCCGGGCGGGCCAGCACCTCTGAGGAGCAGCAAGGTAAACACTGGACGTCAGGTTGGCAGTAGGTCACGGCAGAGACTGGGCCCACCACACACCTCTTCCCTCTCAAGTTTACTGCGGAGGACTCTGGGACACCCCGAACAGCCTAGTTCCCCGAGGGGAGGGTGCGGGGGCTCAGAGTCAATTTAAGCACAAATCAGTTTGCTGTAGGGAGGGGTTAGATGTTAACTGCATCCAATTCACAAATTCAACTCCAATGCATGTCACAAGGAGTTTAAGGAATAAGATTATCTTTCAAGAGATTGAATTCACCAGCCTGCCAAATTGGAAACACTGTATAATTTCATGGCCTGTTACATATATTAAAAAATATATATATGAAATCTCAGTCTTGTTCGTTATTTTTGCAGTAAGAGGTTACACTGAAGTCAGATGCAGAGCTGACGGAATTTTCAATTAGGACAAAATAACTGGGCATTTAACTGAATTTATTTCTCAATAACCAAAGAAATGGGAGATTCGGGAACATGTTTGCAAGGAGATGAGGTCACAGCAACTACACTTTAAGCTTAGCCGCCCTCCCAGGGCTCCTGGGAGCAGCCTGCGTGGGTCTGTGGGCCTCGGAGACCTTTCCACTCACTCCTGCGACTCATGGGAAGAACCATGCTTCTCTCTTCCACGTACCAGACTCCATTCCAGCCTCACAATAGGAAGGTGGGAGTGAGACGGGCAAGGCCACATGAGCACGGTACCAGTGGCGGGAAATACACAAATAAGCTACCCGGGCCATTTCAGTTGAGAACTGGAGAAAATAAAACAGGATGAGGTGGGAGGTGGCAACAGCACAGGGACAAGCTTAGATTTGTGGCCTGAATGGAGGTAACCTTGGGCTTCTGACAGGATATGATGAGAGGCAGCAAGCTAGGCAGAGGGGCCCAGTGCAAATGCCCAGAGGCCACCACCACCTGCTTCGACCTTGCCTAACTGCAGGCATTTCCTGTTCCACCCACTCCACACCTGGAGTAATAATACTAATAACACTCCAGGTGTTTATCACTCTGTGGGTAGTAAAACATTTTCATACCCATTATTTCATTAGCTCCTCCCATCAACACTATGGTATAGGTAAGGCAGGTATTATTGTCTCCATTTTATACTTAGATAAACTGAGATTTAAAGACATCTAAGTGACTTCCTGAAGTCACTTACAGGCAGAAACACCTAAACTCGGGCCCCAGCCCCACCCACCCTCACCACCAAGACAAACTTGCTTTACTCCAAGACAAAGTCTTCTCCTACTGGAAGGCCAGTAGGAAGAGAGAAGACTTTTGTTGATCCATAAACTGAACCCAGACAAATGGAGAATCTTGATCCCACCTCCATCCTTGGAGTATACATGCTGGCCCCTGTCTCTACCGAAGAGCCACTTCAGGGGTGCAATCTTGAGAGGGTAGCGTACTACTAGGACCATGTGGACAGCAGACATGACGGAACCCGCGTAGGCCTCTATACAAACTCTTAAGATGCTGGGTGGGTGTAGCGATTTATTGTCTTTCACACAACCCAGGACAAACCTTATATGTAAGTTGCCTTGCTTACTGAAACTGCCACTTACCAATCTGGAATGGTCTGCTTCTTTCTTCAGTCTCTCCTCATCTTCTGGGTATGGGAGCCATATATTTTACCCCAGGAACTCCTGACGTTGGAAACCAACCCTCCATGCCCAACCTTTACTCAAGTCATGTGTCCACGCCAAAAAATCCCAACACAGCATCAACAAATACACGCACCTGAACATTTACTCTAGCCTGTGCCTGTGACAGACATCACTAATGCATCCCAGCATTCCAGGAAATGCTGCCAGACGATCAAAGGTGGCCCTCCACACAAGGAAGTCTACTTGCATCCCAAACCTAACACTATCCTCAAGCACACTATTTGTTCTTCCACTCCTACCTGGTCTTCCTGGCTCCCCTGCCTGGCTCAGTGCCTGGTTCATAGCACACACGCCATAAACGCTATTTCATTGGGTAGGTAAATGGGTGATGAACCTTGAGCCCTGGGTTCTAGAATACTCCCCCACACTCTTTGCTGGGTAGATGTCATTCTTAAATATTAGATGCTAGTCTTCCCATATACATATGCTAGTCTTCCCATATACGCAGGCAGGCACACATTTCAGGGCTCCTGGAAAGTTGAGACACCCAATAAAACTAAGTTCCAGGGCCTCCCCTGGTGGCGCAGTGATTGAGCGCTGGGTTGCGAGGCTGCCCGCAGCCTCTGCAGCACCGGTTCAATTCCCAGCCACTGGCGAGGGTCCCACAAAAAAATAAAAAATAAAAAAATATAAAACTAAGTTCCATAGGAACCAAATCAAAGACACAGCAAAATGGAGTTTGACCAGGAAATCCTACTTGGGGGGAAGAGAAACAAAAACTCTGGGCCACGTTTAGAATTCTCCAGCGCAAACCACAGCTTAAAATGAATCATCTGCAACTATAATGATTACTCAACAGTCCCTGACTGCTTGGCTCCAAGGCACAAGTGAGTAACCACCCCCCAACTCTAAGAATACCTGGCCCCTGAGAGGAATGAAATGTAGGGGGACAGCACAAAGTTTGGGACACATTCATATAACAACCCTCCAGATGCAGTCACACCAACCTAACACAGGAGAAAATGGGGGGTGGGGGTGGGGGTTGAGCTGCAATCCCTTCATTGCTACACCTGCCTCATGAGGGATATTACCTAATACCTTCCCCATGTCCCTGCTTCACCTCCAAGTTTAATCCTACTGGTCACTCAAGACTTAGCTCAAGTGTCCCCTCCTCCAGGAAGCCTTCTTGAGTGCTTCCTCATTTGAGCTTCTCTCTCCTGCAGCACTTGGCCAATGTCTGCTAACGATCTGCTTTGCACAGCTATCACCTCTTGCTAACTTGAGTTTCCCAACAGCAAGGATCATGCCTCATTCACCTTAGTTGCCCCACACGTAACTCAGAAAACGGATTTGATGTACATTCAGGTGAGAGATGCTTCGTAGGAGATCTTGCATCACCCATAAGCCAAACCAGGTGGGTTCAGGCTAGAGCAGCAAGGAAAACACACGTGCCCAACCCTGTGAATCCAAACCCTGAGTTGTGGTGGGTGTGGCGCTGGCACTGCCTTAGAACCATTACATAAGGATGCCTGCAAAATGAGAGGGGCGTCTGCTTCAGTGAAGCTCTTTCATTCCTCAACTCAGTCTCTCCCACTTCCCAAGATGCTCTCTGCTAAATGCTCTCTGGCCTTGCTGTGATGGGTTGGCTGCCTCTGTGGCATTTTAGAGAGATGAACTCTAAGTTAATGAATTGGGGCATGTGTTTAACTTAGCAGAGCACTTAACAAGGAAGGTTTAGATTTTTTTTTTTTTTAAACCACCAAACAAGAAAATCAAGTTTTTGTGCATATAGCTGTTCCCCAGAGGAGGGGAGAAGTCATCTGCACACAGGGCCAGGCGTGGACAACAAAATCATACACACAAGGAGGTGCCACCCCAGTGAGGGGCAAGGAATTTGTTATCTTTGATCAGAACATCATAGTTCCTAGAAGAAAAAGAAACAAAGCTGGTTCAAGTTATGTTTTGAGAGGCTGCTCTGGTTCAAATGGACATAGCCCTATAGGAATTCAGCTCTTATATAGAGTGCTCAAATCTGACTTGACTTCAAATCTGTTAAAAATGAATCTCATTTAAAAAAAACTGTGGAATATCAATACAATGGAATACTACTCAGCAATAAAAAGGAATAAAGTGCTGATAGACACTATCACATGGGTGAGTCTAGAATATATTATGTTAAGGGAAAGAAGTCAGGCCCCAAAAGTCACACATTGTCTGAAACGTTAAGAAAAAGTAAATATATAGAAAGGAAGTCACTGTCTAAGGCCGAGAGTGGAACCAGGGATTAAATGTAAACTGGCACAAGGGAATTCTTCTGGGTGAAAAAAATGTTCTAAAACTAAATTATAATATGGCTGCACAACTATATAAACTGACTTTTAAAATCACTGCATTGTATACTTACAAGGGGTAGAATCTTGTGGCATGTAAATAGGTCTCAAAAAAAGATTGTTAAAAAAAAAAAAAACTGCCCTCAAGGTGCTCGGTAAAAGTCTGATAAAGGAGAGAAGGAGCTAATGGATGGAAAATGAAGTAACTCCTTCCTACTGAATTTAAATTTGTCCAACAGAGGGAGACTGCTGAAGTTTGACCAGTTTACTGCTAAAATTCAGCAAGCACTGGTTTTCCTGAGCTTTGTCCTATATTTCAAGGCTGTTTAACCTGCCACATTGTTCTACAATAAGATTCCTAAGAATCCTGTACTTTTTTATGCAAATATTAGAACAACAGACAGGATTAGCAATAAATGTAGTGCTTTCACTGAACAGCATCAAATTAACCTTTTGACTGAAGGGCTTATTTCAAATTGATACTTTTATTATATTACAGCTTTATGGGAACCTTTTGGGAGAAACCTAAGTACAGTCATGAAAACAGACAGGATTATATTCACGTGTGAAACTCCAGCATCCCCTGGGATAGAACCAACTGCACCCATAGCAACAGCACCAGCCCTATCTCTGATTTAAGACCATGCGGCACCCACTAGCCTTGCTGAAGCCAGGCCATTATGTGGCATTCATTTGCAACTGGCCATGCCCTATATTTATGTCTCATAAAATAAGTTTTCAAAAAGGTTCATCCCCTTTAGCCCCTGAATTTTAGGGTAGAAGTCAATCTGCGGCTATAGAAATCGGATAAAGATTTAGGGGGAAAAATGAAAATATTTATAATTGTGGGAAGTTAAAAAAAAAAAAGCCTAAATATTTAATATTTGGGGAATAGCTGACTGAATGATAGCATAGCTTAGAATCAAAGGCTATTAAGCCCTTAAAAACATTTATAAGAGCTCATCCAG